TTCTCTCTCCTGTACTCCAGGCCCCATCTGCCTGCCCAGCACCCTTCCCTGGATGTAGGGGCCTGCAACCTAGCGTGCCCAAGGCTGGACTCCCCGTCTTCTACCGGCCCAGACGACAGTGATCCCCTCCTACTTTTCCAGGTCTCTTTACAAGTCGACGCAACCTGGCAGTTTCTCAGACACTCAGGACCACCCTTGACTCCTCTCTCTCCCTCTCTCAAGAGAGACACATCCTTCATCTGCAAATCCTGATGTGTCTCACCCCCAAATACACGTGGAATCCAGTTACTTCTCCCAACCTTCACAACTGCCCCCTAATCCAAGCCAGCATTGTCTCAATTGTCACCATCACTCCTAATAGGACCCTGGCTTTTCCCGTTGTCCTTACAGAGCAGCCACAGTGGGCCTGCGGAGACAGTCTAACAGATGCTCCCACCCTCAGGGTCCTTGCCCTCCCACCCCAACTCGTGCCTCTCTGGGAATGAAGCAGAGCTGACCAGGCTCTGTGAGCTGCTGTGTAATCGGGCCCCTAACTAACTCCCCGACAGTGCCTCCCTCTCTGTCTCCAGACGTGTGGCCTCTAGGTCACCCTTCCAAGAAGCTTGGCTCATTCCCACCACAGGAACTTTGCATTTTTTGCTAAATCGACTTGGAACCCTCTTCCCCAAGAAGTCCACTCTGAGTCCGAGGACTCAGTGAGTTCTCCGCTTACATGCCGCCTTCCCGGACCTCTCCACTTAACGTCGCAGCACCTGTGGGTCTCTCTGTCTCTCTCCCTTGCTTATTGTTCTCCACGCCTCTTCCACCATTCGGTTGGCGTGCTTATTTATTCATCTGTCTTCCTGTCTCCTTTCAGTAGAATGTAAACGCCGTAAGGATGGAGACTTCGATCCATTTTGCTTATTGCTCTGTCCCCAGCCTGGAACACAGCAAGGGCTCAATCAACATTCGCTACAATAAAATGAAAGGCACACAGCAGGTGCTCAGTAAATGTTACTTATTGTCATGATCACTTTTATGGCATTAGATTAGCCTCGCTTAACCAAGTCTGTCAGGAAGAGGCTCTGCTGGTGAGCTTTAGTTTCTGGTTTATGGTGAATTAAGTCATTGTTGATGAAACAACTCATTTAAAATTATATTTTTAAAAATATTTCTCCCCTAAAAATAGAGATTGATTAAAACGGCTCTTACTTGCTTACTTAACACCCGAAGCTCATGGGCGGCCTTCATCAGGTCTAATAGAGGAACAGAAGCCCTTCCCTGTGAGCATCGCCCCTGCCTCTCTGCTCTCTGGGGCTCCAGCAAGCTCTTCCCAAGGGACAGAAGGTGGGGGAAACAGGTCAAGAGGGCACTGCTCACTCACCTCCTTAGAAGTCTGATTTCTCCCTTTGGGTACAGGCAGAAGCTGGCTGCGCTCATATCTGTGCTGTGCTGGCTGGCCTCCCCTCTCACTGCCTTTCATGATGCAGCCTGAGTACCTGGGGTGGCCTGGCTCTGCCTGTCAGCTGTGTGATCCTGGGTATGTCACTTCACCTCTCTGCCCAGTCTGTACATCTGTAAAATAAGGACCTCACGGAACTGCTCCATGGATTAGAGACGAGGCTGGACTGCTCCTAGCCCCAGGCCTAGGGCAGAGCTGGCCCTCGGGAGATTTTTAGCCACCTTCCCCTCTCTGAAGTTGTCACAGGTATTTGGACAACCTGAACCCTGCACTCACCTTCCATGCGACTGGGGCTCTATCATTGGAGCCACAGAAGAAATAGGAACTGATTTCATTTATCTCTGCAAATTTCTTGTCCCTCAAAGCAGGGTCATCTGGAAGAGGACTGTGCCCTGACTCTAGACTCAGAGACTGGGATGTTGACGGTGCCTTGAGGGATGTGAATGGTCCTGAAGGACACATTGTGGAACCCTGAATCCACTTGGATGCCAGGACCCAGACCACAGGCCTGCTGCACAGCCTGGCCCCAGAGGGGATAGAGAGAGAATGCTTTTCCTGCTGAGACTCATCCCAAACTTTGCTCAGACGGGCTCCCCATGTGGGAACAGAAGAGCAGATTTCTCTGCATGAATTGAGGGAAATGAAAGGGGAAGCAGCTGCTCTTATTCACGCTTCTAAGACATAGTTATTTGGTTCACTATTAAAATGTGCTTCAGTGAATGGCCTTCTCGGGCTGATTGGATAACCGGTCAGGAAGGTCCAAGCAAGGTGACACTGTTCTGGGAGATTTTTTGTATTATTTTCCACGTTTAGATCTAAAAATAACCTGTAGGTGTTGGGTTTTCTGTGAAGCAGGAGTCAATTTCATTTTTTTCCCCATACAGATGTACACTTGACCCAACACCATCTATTGAAGAAGCCATTCTTTATCTACTGCTCTCTATTCTTGCCTTTGTTATAGACCAAGGGTCCACATGCAGTGGTGCTGTTCCTGGACTCTATTCAGTTCTGACACCACACTGTTCTAATTACTAAATGCTTCACATACATTACTCTTCCCTGTCATCAAAATAATCACGACCGCCATCATCACCATCATCACCATCATCATCACCACTGCTGTCATCATCAACCTCATCACCATCGTCATCGTCATTTTCATCATCTTGGTAAGTTACTGAGGTGCTTACTACGTGCCATAGTTTTATATGCATTTAATCCTCACATCGACTCTACGTAATTAGCATGATTATAAACCTTATTACAGATGAAGAAATGGAGGCTCAAAGCGGGTGGGTAGCATTCCCAACATCACATAGGTACTACGTGACTGAGCAAGGATGGGTCCCCTCTTCGTGGGGACTCATGTCTGCCAGGGCTTTCTATGTCCCCGGAGTGCTTCCCTCAGCTCCAAGCTTCCTATCAATTAAATGCCCCCTCTCTAGCCGAGAGGGGGCTGTTGAGGTTGTGGGACAGATGGACCTGACCTGAGTTTGCTCTCTTTTAAGAACAGCAGACTGAGTAAATTTCATCTCAAATAGGATTTTTAACCTTTGTAGCATGTTTCATACTGAGACTGGCTGCTTTGAGGGTTGCTGGAGTTTTACCCTGGAGAAGAAATTCACAATCCAGGGCAGGGCGAGCCACAGATCGGTCTGCCTGAAAATCTAAACATAGACGAAGTTCCACTGGGAGCCTCCCCCGAGCTCCTCTTTATTCTTCCACAACCCAGCTCCTCTCGCATCCAGCATGGGGGTTCCTGGCAGGTTAGACCCAGCCCTGAATGCAGGGCAGTGTTTCCAAGGTGCCAAGGAGTTTCCCTGACCCTGTCTCATTAGCACAGCTCACAACTGATCCAGCCAGTTGCCTGGAGATGCCATGAGCTCCACGTAAGGGGTGACCCAGACACAAAGCAATTCCAGTTGGGAACGACCAGCCCTGGAAGTAAGTCTGGGCTCTGAGAGCTGGGAGGCAGAAGGCTCAGGAGGTAGGCCAGCCAAGGGCAGAAGGGCGATCAGAAGGACACTAGTGGGCGAGGAGGGCTGCTTCACCCTCCTTGACCCCAGGGCTCTGCTGACGGCTAATGCAGACCTGCTGATATTTCTGCTGAGTTCCCATTCTCGTCTGAAGTCAGCAGCTGAGGGGGTGCTAACCGCATTCAGGTAACACTTCAGAAAGTAATTTCACGCCCTGCCTCAGTGCTGACGAGGCATTATTAATTTGGGGACACTTTAACACCACTTCATTGTGCCAGCTTAGCAACTTGGCTAATTAACAGGGGAAAAAAAAGAGTAAGGGGATGATTTAAAGAGACATTGTAATGAAAAAAATTGTCACTGCAAATGTTTTGATACAAGGAGAGAGTTCAGGATTCTTTTTAAGTCAGTGGAGGTAAGGCTGTGATCTTGTTGATACCAAGTACGTGGAATTTTGTATTTTTTTTTAAAGCAGTATGGTGTGGTATAAAAGAAATCTGTAGTGGTAAGTGCATGGGTTTGAAATAAGACAGATCTGAGTTTCCATACAGATTCTGTTCTTCCAAAAACAATGTGAAAAAGTCATTCACTCTCAATGACTCACGTTCCTCATGTATAAAGTGGAGCCAATACACCCAATATTGCAGGGTTATTCTGATTGGAAGATGCTCTATATGATGGACTTAGAGGAGTGTGGGCCCAACAGTAAGTACTCTATAAATGGTTTATAAATAGTCAAGTATGAGAACCTTCTGGACTATGAAAGCATCCTTGAAGTGGATGCTATGAATACAAAGTTCTTCGGATATAGAAATCCCCTCCTTACCTCCCTGGGTGAGGAACTGCATAATACAGAGCCTGCTGGGTCTAGGTCAAGGGCTGCTCTCCAGTGCAGGCCCACCTGGGCAGCTGAACCCAGGTCAGGGTCAGCAAAGCTGATCCACAAGGAAACCAGGCTTGTAAGTCCATAATATACAGCCTCAGGAGATTTTCTGAGTCAGACAGTGACATGAAGGATAGAATTTGAGGACAATGTGGGAGAGTCATTCAAATTGCTTATGTGGTCCAGGCTTGGGGGAGCTCCTCATGATTAATACATAGCTCTGCTCCCAGGGGAGGAGGGGAGAAAATGAAGCGAGGTAACTCAGAGGTTATTTCAGCAATGGAAGCTTACAGAGGTAAAAACCTAAATCGGTAAGGCTTAATGAAGAGGGAGGATGGACTCTTATGAGAACGTACCGTGTGAAGTCATGTGGGGATATAATAAGCAGCACCCCTGTCTTTGCTGCTTGATTCAGATTTAATGAGAGAGAACCAAGGAGTGTGGCCCTAATGGATATTCGTCCACGTGGAAGGAGACATCAGGCGCGGGCAACGCCTGTTCCCTCCAACAAAGAACTGGACGTATTTTGTAACAGGACTCTGCTTTTAGCAGGGCAGACTGTCGCACAGAACCGAGACTCCACTTCCAGCGTGCCTTGGATCTCAGTCTCCATATTTTTAAGTCTTGGCCCATAAGTAGCAGATGTATGTAGGAACTCCAACTGGATCACTGGTTTATTATAAAAGGAAATACACTCAGGAACAACCAGACAGAAGAGATGCATAGGGCAAGCAAGGTATGAGGGGAGGGCAGAGGGCTGCCATGCTTTCTGAGCCCACCACTCTCCTCAAATCGCCATGTGTTCACCAACCCAGAAGCTCTCCAAGCCCCATCCTTTCAGGTATTTATGGAAGCTTCATTACATAGGCACGACTGATTCAATCATTGGCCACTGACAACGGATTCAACCTCCAGCCCCTCTCCCCTTCCCAGGAGGTGGGTGGGGAGATGGGACCAAAAGTTCCAACCCTCTAATCACGTGGATGGATCTCCTGGCAACCAGCCCCCATCCTTTCCTTACCTAAGGGCTTTCCGAAAGTCATCTCATTAACATAACAAAAGCAACCGTCCTAGCTTTCAGCATTTAGGAAATTCCAAGGGTTTTAGAAGCTCTGTGCCAGAAATGGGGACAAAGAACACAGGGATCTCTTATTATAAGTCATGCTATCACATTGGGGATGGGGGCTAATCAGACAGAACATGAGAATAGAGAGGAATGGAAAGGGAATTATGGGAAGAGCATATACGTATAGGACGTCCCTTGGGTCCTAGCACTTGATGCCTTGGCCCCTAGAATGAGAAAGAAGCGAGTTCACTGCTGAGTCCATCACTGGAATGCCTGTGACAGAATTCTTTCCACATTCCTGGAGGTCCAGGGCGTGTTCTGAGGAAGGGCAGGCTCAGTGGCAGAAGTGGCTGCATCTTTAGGCACTACCCACTGGAGGTCCACCTACATGCTGCAGACGGAAGAGGTTTTGTCAACCCAGCCCCACACAACATAGGACAGGGAAGAAAGGTTTCAACTAATGCAGAAATCCAGGCATACCCTGGAGAGACTGCAGGTTAAGTTCTAAACCACTGCAGTAAAGTCAATAATGCAACGAAGCGGGTCACGCGAAGGTTCTGGCTTCCCAGTGCATATAAAAGTTATGCTCACACTATACTGTAGCCTATTAAATGTGCAATAGCATCATGCCTAAAAATGAACATACCTTAATTAAAAATACTTTATTGCTAAAAAATGCTCACCATCGTCGGAGCCTTTGGTGAGCCATAATTTTGCAGGTGGAGGGTCTTACCTCCATGTTGACGGCTAATGATGGATCGAGATGGTGATTGTTGAAAACTGGAGAGGCTGTGGCAATTTCTTAAAATAAGACAATGAAGTTTGTCCCATTGATTGACTCTTCCTTTTACAAACGTTTTCTCTGTAGCAGGCGATGCTGTTTGAGAGCATCTGACCCGCAGCAGGACTTCTTTCAGATTTAGGGTCGGTCCTCTCAGACACCGCAGCGGCTTTATCTACAAAGCTTATGTCATATTCTAAATCCTTTGTTGCCATTTCAACAGTCTTCACCAGGAGTTTCCATCTCAAGAAACTGCTTGCTTCGCTCATCCATAAGAAGCAACTCTTCATCTGTTAAAGTTTTATCACGAGATCACAGCAATACAGTCACATCTTCAGGCTCCACTTCTAATTCTAGTTCTTTTCCTCTTTCCATCACATCTGCAGTGACTTCCTCTGCTAGAGTCTTGAACCCTTCCAAGTCATCCATGAGGGTTTGGAATTTCTTCCAAATTCCTGCTAATGTTGGTATTTTTGCCTCTTCCCATGAATCATGAATGTTCTTAGTGGCATCTAGAATGGTGAATCCTTTCCAGGTTTTCAATTTTCTCTACCCATCTCCATCAGAGGAATCACTAAGGCAGCCATAACCTTTCTTCATCATTCTCCCGGGAGGCTCACCCTTGGAGAGCTCCGAGGAAGCCTAGATCTCATGGACACATATAGATACTCTGGCTGTCAACCTAGCTAAGGTCTTGGTCAAAAGCCAGCCTCAAATGCCACATATGTGGGCGAAGACACCTCCAGGTTAGTCCAGCCTCCGGATATCAAGTTATCCATGGCCTTTGGGTCATCCAAGTTGAGGCTCCATACATGAGAGAGAAGAGACAAGCTGTCCCCAGTGTATTGGTCTGTATTTCTGCCCTACAGAAACTGAGCATAGCCCTCCCAGCTACCATGACGTGCTTGGCACTAGCCAATACTTTGTTATAGACAAGTGATGAATTATGAATTACAGCAATTTAAGGTACACATTTTAATTTTAAACTAGTTTGAGAATCTTACTATGCAAAGTAGGAACTAAAGCACTGGAGCAGTAACACAGATAATCACTATGTTCAGTCCCTAAATGACACACTCTTTGCACTGAGCACAGTCCGGGCAGCCTGATACCTCAAATCAACGGGGGCACTTCCGGGTTATCTTCAAAGCCTGGATCTTCCTCATTTGGTGCAATTTTGGGTTCAGCACGAACTCTTCTGGGCACGCGCTTTTTCTCTTGAACTATGTTGGCCACATCGGGGAAGGAACGCTTGTTAGGATCTACTTCTAGTCTCTCAACTTGCTTGCCTCTACAACAACAAAGGGGGCAAGGGAAAGGGACACATCACTTAAAATTAAATTTCAAGTATATTCAACACATTGATTCATTCTTTTCAGCAATCATTGTCAAGTACTCTCCCCTGGAGCATGGTGCAAAAAGAGGAGATTGTCCCTGGTTTCAAGCAGCTTAGAGCCTTGTACAAGCAAGAGTCGAGCCTTGGAGAAATAAAGTGCTAACGAGGGCTACAGGGCTGTGCTAATGCCCGGGCCGCTGGAGGAGAGGTCAGCCGGGAGACTCTGCTGACCTAAGACTTTTTTGATAATTGAAATGATACAGCTGGCCAAGCCCCACAGCCAGGATCAATAATAGAATCGCTCTGGGCAGGTCTCAGTCCTGAATGTAGGTAATCAGGCTCCTGGGCCCTGCTGCTTCAGACAGTCCAGCTAGCCTGCTGTGGTTTGGCGGGGGCACTCACTCTACAAGCTCAGGTGCACCCCAAAGCTTAGCCCATGGTCTCCCCTCCCACGGAACCTGCTCCCATCGCCTGCGCCCAGCCTTGCAGAGACACACGAGTGAAATGAACCAGGAGGAACCCCTGGAGGCCAGTGAATCCTCTGATCATGGTCACGTGAAAAACTCTAGGTGATACAGTCACTGAGATGCTCTTCTGGCAATTTCCATTCCATAGGCCTGGAGTTGGACCTGTATTTATACATCTGTCATCTGTATTTACATATCGTTCTCCCAGTGATTTTGATGATGATTTTGAACTAATTTTGGAAGCACTCACTATCCATTCAGTCAACTATTTAATAGAGATATATTAAGATATATTAAGTGCCTACTGTATTCTGGTTGCTGCGCTAGATGCCAGCAATACCATGGCCTGTGCAAATAGACAAGCTTCCTGGTAACGCTGAAGAGTCCAGCGCAGTGCTCAACAGAAAAGTTATCACGTTATCATGTAATTGTCTAATGATCGGTCTGTTCTCCCTATTAGACTGCCATCTTTGCAGCAAAGATCTTGTCTTTTTCCCCTTGTGTCTTTGGCATATAGCTTTACTGAATAAATACTTACTGAATGAATGACAAAAATTTATTATATTATGGTAGAATGATGAAGTTAAATAAGAAATGATCTCTGGCCCAAGGAAAATCACAGTCAGTCTAATCCGGGAGCTCCAAATCCATGTCCTCAGACCAAATTCATGCAGCAGACAGTGAGATGGGGGAGGGAGGTTCCATTTGCTTTGGAAAGTATAAACTCTGTTGTTCTTGCAACCCTTCCCCTACATCTCTGTAATCTGCTCTGCCCTTGAAAGCTTTTGACTTTTTGATTCCTCAGTATTTTGATTTAATACACGTGGACCTGCTGGAGAAAAATACAAAGTATACAAAGAGCATAAAATGGTATTTTCTGAACACCCAGATTGTACCCTATAAATTATGCAGGAAGTTGCAGTTTTCAAAGACTTATGTGACAGTCATTATTAACTACAGCTCCACTTTTTAATTACTGTTCTTATTTAAAAGGCTATGATATGGATGGCTTAATTAAGTAAATATCTAAATTCATCTATTATAATCATGTTGTCCTCAACTTCGAGGAGAAGCAGCCTATCTACACTTCCAGGCGTATCTCTTGGGCTATAACCTCTGGATCTCAGTAATAAATGGTGAGCTTAGCTGGTGTGCAGTTGTCTCTTGCTCCCCTAACTTCAGATGTTGTGAGGAATAATTTGCATGCGGGACTTTAATTACTTATGAATCTCTGGGGTAATAAATAGTGAACAGCAAGGCTTGGAGCACTGGAGGGCCACACTAATCCCCCAAATAAAGAGGAGGGGGCTTTTCTCCCCTGCTGTGTTCTTCCTCGATGTTGATATCGCAGGCCTGAAGTGACAGATGCCTATGGCTGGGTTTACCCACTACCTGGCTATCAGACCGGAACGTCTGGAATCTAGTAACAATAGCCAGAAGACGGAATGAATAAACGTATGACCATGGAAGAAAGCATGAAAAAAAGAACACGTCTAAAATCAGTAGGCGTAAAACGCATCAAAGATTGATTCCTTCTATTAAAGAACATTAAGAACCTTCTTTTGATTATCTGGTGAGCTAGCGTATTTGGACCAAAGACCCCTACCGCCACACGTACTATGCTTAAATGAAATGTTCCAGACTTGACAGTGAAATGCTGAAAACTTTCCCTTTGGGATTGGGTCGTTATACCTGCTATCCCCCTCTGTTCAACATGGTACTGGATTCTTTCCTTATGCAGTAGGGCATGAAAAAGTAATAAAAGATACAGAATTGGAAAGAAAGCAAACTATCATTTTTGCAGATATATAGAAAATCCAAAAGAAACAATAGACAAATTAATAAAATAATAAAAGAGATTAGCAAGGTTGCTGAGAACAAAATCAAACACAGAAGTGAATTACACAGCAGTGATGGTTGCACAATATCGTGAATACACTAAATGTTATGGAGTTGTATACTTTTAAGTGGTTAAAATGGTGAATTTTATGTTATGCGTATTTTATAACAATAAAAAATGACAAATCTATATGCAAGCAACAAACAAAATTTACAATAGCATCAAAAATATCACACACCTAAAAATCAATAAACTATGGGTATACATATGGGAAAATTATAAAAATGTTACTAAGAGATACAAAATAGGACTGAAAAAAGAGAGAGATGCTAATATTACTAGGGCTATTCTCCCTAAATTTATCTATGCATCCATTATAATTCCACACAAAATCCCAATACATTTGTGTGTGTATATGTGTTTGTGTGCCTGTGTGTGTATGTGTGTGTATATGAGAAATATGACAAGTTGTTTCTAAAATTTATATAAAAGTGAAAAGGGCCAAGAACAGCCAATTCTTCAAGAAGAATAAGTTGAGAAAACTTTTCCTACTAGTTATAAACTTGCTGTAAAACTTTGGAAATTAGGAAATCAAGGAAATGGAACAGAATAGAGTCTATGACAGACCTACACATATGTAGACACTTGATCTATGACAGAGGTGGCATTGCTGATCACTGCTGAAAGCACTGGGACAGTAGGGTGTCCACATAGGGAAAAATTAAGTAAACAAAATTGTCGGGCCTTTAACAAAAGTCAATTCCTAGTGGATTATATGTAAACATGAAAGGCAAAACTACAAAGCCTTATTACATAGAGGACTACCTTTATGACTTCAAGGTGGAATAGGATGTCTAAAACAAGACAAAGAAAACATTGACCATAAAAAAGTGTAATACTTTTGATTATTTTAAAAATATGATTTCTGTTCATTAAAAGATACTATGGAGAGACTTCTGGTCTTTGAGTAAAACTACAAAACTCTAATGAAGGTTTTCAAAGAACTAAATAAATGGAAAGACATCCCATGTTCATGGATAGGAAGACTCAATGTTGTCAAGATCCTCTCAACTTGATCTGTACATTCAATGAAATCCCTATAAAAATCCCAGCAAGAATTTTTATGTATATTGACAAACTGATTCTAAAGTTTATATGGAGAGGCCAAAGGCTCAGAATAGTTAATAAAATACTGATAGAAAGAACAAAATCGGGGAACTGATGCAACTCAACTTAAAGACTTATTATAAAGCTACAGTGATTGAGACAGTGTAGTATTGGTGGAAAAATAGAAAAACAGATCAGTGGAACACAGTAGAGAGCCCAGATACAGACCTCTGTAAATACAGTCAACCAATCTTTGACGAAGGAGCAAAGACAGTCTTTTCAAAAAGTAGTGCTGGAATTATTGAACTTCCAAGTGCAAAAAACAAACAAACAAACAAACAAAACTGAATCTAGACACAGAGGTTACAACCATCACAAGAATTAACCAAAATAGATTATTGACCTAAATGCAAAATGCAAAACTATGAAACTCCTAGGAAATAACATAGGAGAAAGGCTAGATGACCTTGGGTATGGTGACAACATTTTAGATATAACACCAAATGCATGATCCATGAAAGAAATAACTGACAAGCTTGACTTCATCAAAATTAAAAACTTCTGCCCTGTGAAAGACTAGTTCGGGAGAGTGACAAGAGAAGCCACAGGTTGGGAGAAGATGTTTGCAAAAGACACCTGATGGAAGACTATTATCCAAAATATACAAAGAACTCTTAAAGTTCAACAATAAGAAAACAAACAACATGACTGATAGATGGGCCAAAGACCTTCACAGACACCTCAGAAGGAAGATGTGCAGTTAGCAATAAGCATCTGTAAAGACGGTCCACAGCTGTGTATCGTCAGGGAAATGGAAAGTAAAACAATGAGACACCACTGCACACTCATTACAATGGTCAAAATCCAGGACACTGACAACATCAAATACTGGTAAGGATGTGGAGCAACAGGAACACTCTCATACATTACTGGTGGGGATGCAAAATGGTATAACCGCTTTGGAAGATGGCTGGGCAGTTTCTTACACAACTAAACATAGTCTTACCATATGATCCAGCTATTGTGTTCCTTGATACTTATTCAAATGAGTTGAAAACTTAAAACCACACACAAACCTGCGCATGATATTTTAGCAGCTTTATGAATAATTGTCAAAAATTGGAAGCAACCGAGATGTCCTTCAGTAGGTAAATGGATAAATAAACTGTAGTACATCCAATGGAATATCATCCAGTGCTAAAAAGAAATGCACTATTAAATTATGAAGAGACAAAGAGGAACTTGAAATGCCTATTACTAAGTGAGAGAAGCCAATCTGTACAGGCTACATACTGTCCAATTCCAATCACATAACATGGTGGAAAAGGCAAAACCATGGTGACAGTAAAAAGAACAGTAGTTGCCAGGGGCTGGGAGCAGGGAGAGAGGGATGAATAGGTGGAGCACAGGAGATTTCGGGAAAGTGAAACTACGCTGTATGATACTGTAACAGTGGATACACGTCATTACACATTTGTCCAAATCCATAGAATGTATAACACCGAGAGTGAGCCCTAATGCAGACTCTGGACTTCGGGTGGTCATGATGCATGGATGCGGCAGCTTCATCAATTCTAACAAATGTTCCACTCTGGCGGGGGTGTTGACATGAGGGGGAAGTGCTGCATGAGTTGGGGCAGGGAGTACAAGGGAAAATCTCTGTGCCTTCTGCTCAGTTTCGCTGTGAACCTAAGACTGCTCTAAAGAAGAAAGTCTATTTTTCAAAAAAGACAGCACGAACGGAGTAAGAAGGCAAGTCCAAGAATGGATCACGTTGGATGATTCTGGTTCCAAAGCTCACTTAACAACTTTGTGATCCTGAGCAAATTACTCAATCTCTTTGAACCCCAGTACATTAACGAATACTAGGATTTACCTTGTAGTTACCTTGAAGATTAAAGATAAGGTAACACATGGCATCATATGGCACAGCACAGGGACTCAATATTCAATACATGCATTTTTTGAGGCAGTTCTGAGTCTCCCTTCATCGTACAGTGTCACAGGACCACCGGAGGTCACCGAGTCAGTTACCTTCCCCCCAAACACGACCCCATCCAGTCCTGATGAGCACGACCCTCCTCCCCTTGACCTCCCTCTACTCCCTCTGTCTCCACAGCATGAGGAGGGGGGCTTTCAGTCTGTGAGAGTCTTGAGGGGCCTACTCCGACCCTCCTGGCGCACTGCTGCAGCAGGAGCCCTCTTCCCCCCGAACCAACAACCTGCCTGACCTCGTTCCCACGTGCAGCCTCTACAGGCAGCTGCGTGCTGAACGGGGTTGCCAGCCAGAGGCTGAGACAATGTGGATAACGAAGTTGGTCAACGATCAAGGAGCATCACAAACAAGCTCCACATGGACAGATAACAAACGGTCGTAAGTCGATCATTTCTCAGTAACAAAAATGAAAAAGAAAGGCCTTGCAAAAATACTGCAAGAGGCACGACTATGACGGACTATGCTGAGACATCTCTGGTCATTAAGTGCAATTACAGTCATGATGGTTTTCCTGGAGTCTGGAAAACCGGCTCCAAACTGCTCACAGGGACTTGGTTTCCAATCCCTGTGATACTTCACAGATTAGATTCAGACTCTGTACACGCGTTGATGCTGCTAGGGGTTAATTACGACCGTGAATATTCATAATAGTCATGCTACCCTTGAATCTCTGTAAATTACACATGTATCCTGAATGGAAATCATTAGGCTGGGAAACATGAGACTGGCTTTTTAAGGTTAATAACAGCAACCTGCTTTTCAGGAGGAATTAAATTCCATACCTGTTGTTTAAACAAACCCCATGTTTGAAAATCTCTACAAAACTTTGACAGTTGTCTTTGGATATACGAATGCCGGACTGCCTGTATTATGCAAGACATAAATATAGCCCTTGTTCAGGTATTTTTATGATGATAATTCTAGCATATACATTTGTATCACAAAGATAGTTTGCCATGGTCCAAAATAGATTTTGCCATCTGGATGGTACGAGTCTGGAAATCATGACAAGCAGAAGGGAAGTTGAAAGAGCGGGGATGCTCATTCTAGAGAAGAACTGAGAAATACTGAGAGCTTTGTCTGAAATACGCTAAGGATTGTCACAGCACGTGGGCGGTGGGCTTTGATCTGAGGGGCTCTGGGGGCAGAGCTAGGACTCAAGGAGAGGCTTTAACACTGGGGAATATTAAGATGAATATCCCCTTGAGAGGGTGAGGGGCCTGTGAGGAAGGAAGCTTAAGTAAAGGCTGGAAGGTGACCTGTCACTGACAGGAGGGCACACACGGGGCCTCTTGGCCCTTGCAGCCCTGACGGTTCTGGAATCTGTGATGGGACGTATGGGTCATAAGAGAGAGGCAGTGTGAGCTGCGTTGTGAGCAGGGCTCAGCCGAGTTGTCCTAACAAGGCCCAGCTCCAGGACCTTCGCACATTCTCAACCCCTCCCTCCCTCATTTTCCCCAACTGTAACCTGAGGACCAAAATTGTGAAGATTAAACGTGTTCATATGGGTCAGGCACACGGAATGTGCCGAAACAACGCAAGCGCGCAGTAAACGCAGCCGTCGCTGGTGGGGATGTTGCCACTTTTATTATTAGCACAGGAAATGGGGACCTAGATACGCACAGATCTGCTGGGTAGCGATCCAGAGCCCTGCCAATCGGGAGTCTGAGCTGTGGGAATCAACATTAGCGTCCGCGGTATGAATCCTTTCTGAACTTTAAATAACTACCTTTTTGGAAGGTGCATTCTAGCCACCAAATAACAATGAAGAGGACGACACCGCCGAGCTCCAGACACGCTAGGGGGACGGTACCTTTTGTCTGTCTGCTCCCTGCTGCTGTCCGTGCTGACCCGCGGGCTTTTCACACACTTTGATGTTTGTCCACAGCCTGTGATTACTTCACCCACCTAAAATAAAAACACAACACACACTAAGCAGTACATTCGCTCTTAAGTAGCTTCAAAAATACACTCTCTCTCTCTGTTTTATTATATATTTTATTTTATTATATATTATATATAATATATATTATTACAAAATACATTTTAAATATACTATATACTTTTAAAAATATTAATTTTATTACCTATTTTATTATCTATTATCTATTTATACATATTTATTATATATATTTTATATACTTTATTTTTAAATAATATATAAAATATATATTATATATTTTATTGTTATATATATTTTAATGTTAAAATATTTTAATTTTCACTACATATTCCATGAAAGAGTCAGACTTTAAGCCCCTATCTGGGGTATGAGAAACTTAACAATAGTCCCCCCTTATCCATGAGGGTACATTCCAAGACCCCCAGTACATGCCTGAAACCGTGGATAGTACCAAACCCCATATAACATGTTTTTTTCCTTTACTTCTATACCTATGATGAAGTTTAATTTATAAATTAGGCACAATAAGATAGTAACAACAATTAGTAATAAAATAGAACAATTATAAGGATATGCTGTAATACAAGTTACAATAATTGCATAAGCAAATTGTACAAATTTAATACCTTTTCCATCCTAACTGAGCACTTATCACACTCTGTGGCCATAACTTTTGCAGTATAAGGTACCACAGCAAGACCAGCACAAATTTCTCTCTCCTTCTTCATAATATTATGGAAGGAGATTCGTTCATACCATAGGATTTTTTCTTTCCTTATTAAGTGTAGAATTTTCAACTTTTTACTTAAAGGAGGCACTTTAAGCCTTCTCTTCGGCATATCCGAATTGCCAGCATGGCTACTCTTGTACTTTGAGGCCATTATTATGTAAAATAAGGGTAACTTGAACCTCAGCACAGTTGATCCCATAACGAAGGCAGCTCCTAAGTGACTAAGGAACCAGCAGGACACGCTGGACAAAAGGGATGATTCACATCCCGGGCCGGGTAGAGCTGGACGGCGCAAGATTTCATCACGCTGCTCAGAACGGCCCACAATTTAAAACTTATGAATTGTTTATTTCTGGAATTTTCCATTTAATATTTTCAGACTGTTGACCGTGGGTAACTGAAACTGAGGAAGGTGAAGCCGCAGGTAAGGGGGACTGGGTATCATGAACTGTTACTGTTCACAACAGTCTTACAAAGCCACAAGCTATGCTTCATTTGCCAGAGGCCAAGCAGGGGAACATGGTGAGTTAATTCATTTAACAAATATTTTCTGAGCGCCAACCACATGTCAGACACATTTTTAGGGGTGTTGGGAATACAGGTGTGATGGAGACACTGCCTTGGAGAAGCTCCCAGAGAGTGGGGCTATGGAGCTGGGAGTATGAACTCTCATCGTCCCAGCTCACTGGACCCCAGCTCCTGCCCCTGTGAAACTGGGAATTAGATACGCCTGTGAAGGTCCCTTCCTGGTCTGAAAAATTCTGTAATTCCACTATATACACACACACACATACACACACACACACACACACACACACACATATACATATATATATATATATATATATATATATATTTAATGAAGTATAGTTGATTTACAAAGTTGTGTTACTTCCTGGTGTACAGCATAGTGATTCAGTTATACAAATATATACATATATTCTTTTTCATTATAGGTTGTTACAAGCTATTGAATATAGTTCCCTGTGCTGCACAGTAGGACCTTGTTGTTTATCTATTTTGTATATAGTGGTTTGTATCTGCTAATCTCAAACTCCTAATTTATCCCTACCCCTCTTTCCCCTTTGGTAACTATAAGTCTGTCAGTCTGTCTGTTTTGTAAATAAGTTCACCTGTGTCTTTTTTTTTTAGATTCCACATATAAGTGATATCATATATTTGTCTTTCTCTGTCTTACTTCTCTTAACCACTATTTTTAATCTAAATAAGCTCCAGTGCTAAGCATGTTAAGTTCTCAATAAATATAACTGATTGACCTACTGCAACAAACATACAGCAAAGATTATTGAGGCCCAGTACCTTCCCTTTGGAAGCTCAAAGACACAAGAATGTGGGGGGAGGAGAGGAGGAGACTACATGCTGGGCACATGCCTACCCGTGCTGGGTGTTTGCAGATTTCCTCTAACCACCTCCCCTTCTCCCAATATTCCAGAGACAGGAATTACTAGCAGGCAGAGAGAAATAAATTTAAAACTCCTCTCCTGGTATTGCTTTGGTCAACTCACCAAGGTGGGGGGCTTCTGCCCTTTCTTTTTGAGGAAAAGAGAGCTCTGGAGTGGGTGTACACTCCTCTCTACGCCCTAACTGGCTCCTTCTCTCTGGCCAAGAAATGCTTCATCTGCGGGCGGGCTACGTCTCACTGGTGGCAAGGGTCACTCCTCCAAAGGCGAGGGCCACCTGCCACCCTTTCTCTGTTCTGCTTGAGACTTCATGTGTCACATAGCCGTGAGCAGATTCATGCAGCCGATCAAGGAAAAAGACTAGGCTTGGACTTTGAGGGTCCAGCCGCCAGTCCCGCTCCCATCTGCTGGCCAGGCAAGCACACTGGACTCATCGTCTGTATTTGGAAAGGGAGTTAGGAGCCCCGGGTTAGCCTCAATCTTCAACTAGACTTTCCAATCCAATCTTTACCAGACCTTTGCACTGGAGTGCTGGGCACTTAGATTAACAGATGTTTCCCATTTGACTAGCAATTCTTGGCTGGATGCACCACTGGTCAGAACATCAGAAAGCCTAGCACGTTGCTTATCACACGATGCTTCGACAAATGGACGATGAATGAACACATGAAGCAGTGACTCCTAGTCTGGGGGACCACAGCATCAAATCCAGGGAGATGAGTGCTCTTACTGCCCTGATGACAACCCTTCATCTACATGCTGGTACAAGGACCAGTTTTCTATCATATTTTATAAAAATTCAGTCTGTGTATGGATGTTGAGATTGAGTTCAGCCCCTTCCCACAGACCTCATGCGAGGGCCTATGCGCGATGCAGAGAGAAGAGATCTGCTTAGACACCACCCTTTCAACAGTTGTACTGAACATCTGACTGGGAAAATATCTTTAAGCATCACAAATGGCTTGTGATGGTCAGACTTTTGCTGACACTCCAGAAGAGAAGAAAACAATGAATACTGCATGTACCAAACACACCCAATTTCAAGGCTCGAAGAACTCGTTGAGAAACATTTTTTAAAAGGTTTACTCTGCGTAACACAAACCTGTAGAAGAACACCATGGAAGAATCAGCCATCAGTGCGAGGTTTACTGAATAATTAGAGAAGGTGACTCATGGGAAGACTTGCCTGATGAAGCGGGTTTTTATCATCATCAAATACAGTTTGGAGGAAGCTAATTCTAAAAACGATTTACTTGCTAGGTTTTAAAGTTTATTTCATGCGAATTTTATTGTTTTCCACTCATTTCTTGCTGGCCGGTCATGTTCTATTTTCCGCTGTTAATGTGGTAGGGTAAGCATGTTTAGACTGTTTTAATGTGGAAACTTAACTGTTGTTTTTCCTTTTCTCTAATTGAACTAGTGATAGATACAAATATTTCCCCCACCTTCCTGGTCTATCCTTAAAGAAACGGAAACACATTTCAGTTGCTGTGGATTCCACTTCTGGTTTATTAAGCCACATTAATGTCAAAATGAGGGCAAAAAGTGTAGAGCTGAGGAAACTAAACAGAGATGCTCTCCAGTTGCGGGGAGCAGAGAGAGGTGCAGGTGTTAGGGTAAAGGCAACTGACACCTTCCTCCTGGGGTGTCATGCAGGTGGGGGCGGCAGGGCCTCTGAGACGCACGGCGGCATGGTTATGTGGGAAAGTGCTGTCCAGGAGAATTTTCTGCAGTGATGGAAATGCTCTGTGCTGTCCAACATGGGGCCCCTGAGCATCTGAAATGTGGTTAGTGTAACCAGGGCACTAAAGTTTTCATTTTATTTCAATTTTAAGTAATTTTAATTTGTACTGATGTCAGAAAGATGGGAACATGACCAGAGTGAGCCCCAAACCTATTGTGAGCTGCCCGATTCTTCTTCAGGAATGAAGGATATCCACCCATACCAGTTACCCTTAGTTCACCTGTGGTCCTTCACCACCTGGCCTTTCCAGTTCTGGAACCCTGCGCTCCTTCCCTGACATGCCTGGGGCCCGGAAGTCGTATGTGAGTGTGAGAAGCCAGAGCCTGTGTTTCAGCCTCTCTGATCAATGTGGGGTGGAAGGCTGCTCCCTTGGCCTGACTCAGGGCAACGCTATAGGACCACGTGTGCTCACAGAGGTGTCGGCTGGGGCCTTTGTTGGCCCGGCATCACAGCTCAACCGCCCCATATTTTCCCAGTCCTGGCTCCTCCCCTCGCACAAGCTCTGATCCCTAGGCCAACCCCCCCCACCCCCACTGCCCGCAAGTGTATTGCTTGCTCGCCTCCATCTCAAGATCTCCTTCCTGGCGTCTTTAAAAATTTTTTTTTTTAATATTTTAATCACATTAAACGAGACCAATGTTAGTTAAAATTCATTAAAATGGCAACTTTGAGCAAGAAAAGCTCAAGTCAACAGCACAAGTTTCGTACTGCTTCATGCTGTAAATGCACTATTAAGAATGGGAGCATATGCATAATTAGTCTCAAAACAGCCCATTTCCAACATTGTTATTTGTCACATAAGAAGCTCAGACAATCAGATTCTCTGTGTTTATGGAAATGCAAATAGAATCACAAATTTGGAGCTTTTCTTCACTGGGAATTTACTGTGTACCAGAATCTAAGTGCATCGCTTATTTTTAAAAGGGTATTTTCAGCTCATTTAGTTTCAAAGGTTGTTTTAAGTTTAAAAGTTAGAAGGAATTAAGAAATCAGCTGTCAAAAAAATATTACCACCAACATCCGTCTTAACACCAAAAATGATCTTAACACCAATATTGCTATTAATATCAGGAAACACTCTTCTGATAAGAGATCTAATTTTCCCAAGCA